TCTCGACAATGGGAGAAGCCTTCGCAATTCATTGGACTGCTACCGCCCGCCCAAGCTGGGCAGCCCCCAGCCAATAAGGTGCTGCCCCGTCCACGTTACCCTTGTTTCAATGGGTGCATGAGACAAAGGGCCTATCCCGAATAGCGGACCGACAATCAGCGCAACAGCGAACAAAACACTTAACCGAAAACCGAAGGCCTTGCGTGACAGATCTCTAAAAGCTCCTACACGAGTGCCCCACTGCCTTGCGGGTCAGACTTTTGTGTCAAAGGCTCCGAGCAGGGTTCCCAAAGAAAACCCCCTTGGTCGATGTGGGCTACCGCGAAGAATGTCAGGCCCTAAAGTCTTAGGTACCCAGTTGGAAAAATACTCTTTCCGATCGATATAGTTCTTCCTCTCAACCCCCGAATAATCCCAAAAGCCTCCTGTTTTTACGAGACCCGTCAGATCTCACTTAGCGTTTTGCGAGCAAGTCTAAACAATTCCTTTTTCACTTAGCCGCGTTCAATGTCCGCATACTCTGTCACATTGGTCAACAAGCTGACTTAGCTAGAACCCTTGACAGTTTCAATTTAGATGTATGCTATGTCTCGGAAACACGCATACAAGACCCTACTTCACTTATCTTCCTGTATGCTCCTGATCCAACCCTCAACCTCACGCTTCACCCTTCGTGTGTCAGCTCGCGTCGAACACTAGTAATGTTCATCCCGTTACTCCACAAAGCGGTGTTGGGAAACCGAAACGTTGATGATTTTAGATTTCGCTGTATAACGAACGGTAAGTAAGAGAAAAGGTTGAACATATGATACCACAGGGTTGACAGCTGGGCTAGGTGATCGGACCAATTTTCAACATCCACTCACAACGCACACACACACATGAATATTGGCGTTTGATAGCAATTGCTGGAAAGAAAGAGCCCGCAATGAAGCAAATGCATTGCCCTAATCAATCACCCCCAGCAGAGCAACTCTCAAGACCGTAGCGCTCTAATTGACCACTTCCTCCTTCCGGAAATTTATGACTCATTACAAAGAAGTGAACTTTAAAAAGAAATAAGAGAAACAAAATTTTAAGGACATTTTGAAAAAACATTCTTTGAAATGTACTCAAAAGAAAAAAGATCAAGAGAGTTTAAGGATGCAAAAATGGACGGGATCAATCCAATTATGAACATCGTACAGTAAGAAACAGAAAAGTGAACTTTGCAGAAAAATGTGCACAGGGATTGGGCCTATTTGGAGGGATGCAGAGTGAACTTCGATGGTCAAAGCGCAGAGTAAATGAAGTAATTGTGCATACACAACTTTTGAAGTATTCCGGACTAATAGGAAGTGAAGAAAAGAACACAACTGCGGTTGGTTCCCTGGTTCATCTCTCAGTATCTTCAGCTAATCACTGGCAAAGTTCTTTGGATCCCGGGTAGCTGTCAAGCAACCGAAATAAACTATAGAACGATTACAGTGTCGTTAGTTTATACAAACCAAACAGCGCTGAACATACTGTTCGTGGAGAACGTTGAAAAAAATGGATCACACGTTTTAGTGTTACCCCCTTTCAGGGAGAGCGGAAAGAATGAATCTAATGCTCGGTTACGAGTGCTGTCAACCTCAGTCCCGGGAATTTCGAGTGAGACCGGGGTTGTATGGACCTGGACGATAGTGAAACGAAAGAATTTGAGCGGTGTTGACAGAATAGAAATCTTGGACTTTGGAGATATTCAAACTTTGAATCTGAATTATGCATAACCGACTACTCGAAAGTGCTCAGGAAAATGTATATATCAGAGTGTCAGGGTTCCCGCCAAAAACGTTGGCTATGAAATCGATCGCTAAACACATGATAGGAGCTGACCGACAGACGGACCGAATACGATGATGTCATAAGGAGAGACAAAACTTATTAGGGCATGCAAACAAACAAACAAACGTAACAGGCAGACAGAATTGAAGGACAAACAAGCGGGTCATATGCGGCTAAATAAATACACCCAATTCGGGAGTTCTCTGATTCGCTACCGGCGGGAAAATGTAACCTAACTGCGTTTCTCCATTATAAACTAGGACGGTTCAAAGCAGAACTGTGTTCTTGTGTTTAGTGAACGAGGACAAATAACGCACCAGATCGAACGTAGACACACTGTTCCGTGCCACTCGGAGCGGTATGGGTCCAAAACGCGACCGGAACAGACGGATAGCCTGATATCCACATCAACGTGTCTTCCGGAGAGAACAGACCAATAAAGGCTTTCGTGAATCCCGGCACCTGAAAAACAACGAGAACCATTCGGAGGACTTCATTCCGTGTGCTGTGGGAGCACATTTATGAGGGGTGCACTAGCATAAGGAAGAGTTTTTAGGTGGGGCGTCAATAATGAGAAAACACGGAGCTGGGAGTGGGCAGAGAAACGTACCCAAGATTGTGGTCGATTCGATTCCTCAGATGTGGTGTTTTGGTTATGAACTAGCAAACTGGTGATTAACGCACGCTACTTAGAATCCATTAATTTAACCGTGGATATGAGCTATCCCTCCTCTTCTTCCTTGCAATGCAATATCGATGTGTGCTATGTGGTCGTCGGTTGATGTTTACGCAACTGAGACATCCTAAATACCATCAAGATCTGCAGCTGTCCGTAAAGGGTTGAATGCNCTAACCGCTACGAACGTAGAACGGGAGGATGATTCGCAGCGTCCGAAAATCTGTCTATGTATACCGTATTGCGAGTCCCGTGTGAGATTTCCCGATCAGCCCAATCGGTGGTCAGAAATGAAATGATTTGACCGAATCAGTAGGCCAGTATCATTTGTGCATTCAACCTCTTTTGGTCTACAGTTACACTGTCTATATTCAACACTACCACGGTCTACATACAGCACATGGCATCAGTGAATGATACGGACATCATTATCACACACACGTAGCCCGATCACACAAATGTACTCCGTTATAACATCAATTTGCTTATCCAAAGGAACTACAAAAAGGTGCACATATCTGACTTCGACGCCTATCAAAGTCGTTCACAACGAAATCATTTCACAAGTGCGAAAGGGTAGGGTCAAGCCCCAACTGACGACATCCATGAAGACAGAGAATGTCTGCGCGTAAAGAAAACACATCGGTGAGTAGCTCAATAACCTAATTAACATCGGTTCACGACGTGAAAATACTAAAGTATCAATCTATACTGCCCAAATAGTATAGATGATACTATCACTCCGCCAAATTCGGGAACACAGACACTCCACTCCCACCATTTATCTCTTCCTCGATCGAAAAGCGGCTTTCGATTCAGTTGAATCCTTCAAGCTCTGGTGTAGCCACTTGTTGGAGGATACGCGAGAGAAAACAAGTTGTGTTCTGCCATCTCTTTATACTAACAGCCAAAGCCAAGTCCGAGCTTACGGCACTTTTTCGCCCGAATTTACAACAGTAGATGGTGTTCGTCAGCGTTGCCCTCTCTCTGCGTTCCTACTCAACTTCGTCATACAGTTAATTCTCGAAACAGTCCTATTCTTGTGCGTGGATAGTGGCATCGATTTGCTCCCAGAAGACAGACTGTCTGATCTGGAGTATGCAGACGACACTGTGCTGCTAAGTAAGGTAAGTTGCAAGCTTTGCTGGATAGTTTGAGTGTCATGTTCGACATACGTGTTGCACCTTCAAAATGTAAAATGTTACTACAAGACTCGGTTAGGTCAGCCTCCGAATCCATCTGATCTGGGGAGATAACAGAGGAATTGTACAAATTCCGCTATCTGGGCGGCTGCATCTCACCCGGCGGACGCATCACGGATGAAGTGTCGGCAAGTACACAGAAGGCCCGATTGGCATTTGCCAACTTGAGACATCTGGAGTGCTGTCGCGAAATCCGGCTGTCTGTGAAGGACCGAGTATATGTTGTAGCCGTTCGGACAGTGCAGCTTTACGGTGCAGAGACTTTAACAATACGGGAACAAGATGCAAGTAGATTGTCCGTGTTCGAACACAACACACACACTGTCCGCGTCGCATTACACGAGTCCGGTGAGGTAAACGGACAAGCAATGCTGAGATTAGGCGTAGAGTTTTAGATAATCGCGGTCGTCCACTTGAGCAAGTAGTCGATCACCACAGATTACGCTAGTTGGGGCATGTACTGCGCATATCACCAAAAAGGCTGCTACAGCCAGCATGAGGATATGAAAGCCCTAACCAGGAGACTGGGTAATATAGGTACCGCTAGACTACCTGGATGGGGACCCTGAGATCATGGTCACCCGTGGTTACAGACACTAAGCATGGCTGGGTATTACAAACAGTGGTGCACGTGCATCTACTCGTTATTCTTGTGACCTTAGTCTAGATGAATTTTCTACATTGTCTTCCTATGTTCTTTTTGCTCTTCGATGTAAATGGGTAGTCATGAAACTGTACCCAAAATCGGTGCACGATAGAGCATAGTTGATTGGTGCAAAAACTGTAACTGCCTAGATAACATCAAAGAGTCAGTAAGCACCATTTTAACTTCTTGAGCTTCATCGCAGCTGGATGAGATGTTGGGAAAGAGGGCATTTCCTGAGTAGCGAAAGGTAGAGCAGCTTTCTCCTACGTGCGACATCTTGTGGCGCCCCATATTTGACTTTCTCTCAGTGGTTAATTCTGCCGTGGTTTGTAGTGTCTCGCTTTGTGGCTCCCAGACCTGATCTCTCCGAGCAAAGGTCGCTGATCGACTTTTCGTCTTCTTTTTCCATTCTAATTTGACTTTTCCACTTAATCAACCACTGAGACACGAATTCAGGCATGGCATGCAGCTTGAATATTTCGTATCTAACGTTGAACCATGATCAGGTCTTTACCGGCTGCGTGAACCGTGATATGCATAACCTTGATATTTGCCTGCCTCCCCCATGGACAAGCGAGGGGAAATGGGGTACCAATTTTCACTGGATGAATACGCCCCAGTTTCATGATAAACACTATTGTTTTAAAGGAAGCAAAACGAAGCCGACTCACCTGCTTCAGTTGATCCATTAGGAATTTCTGATGTTCTTCAGAGGGGATCGTGGCTAAAGACATGTTCCGAGACTGGCAGGTTTCTTCAGCGTGCACAAATGTGGCCGGAATCGCGTGAAATTCCACACAGTACTTCGAGCCCATCAGGTCCGTGCATAATACCCGCGGTATATCTGGACAATAGAGACAAAAGCGATTCGCGGTGATCCAATTCGACACGTATAACTGACCGTAAATATACGGAGATCGGACAGGACGTGGTAGTGATTGTGGTGGTGGTGGGTTGACTTACATAGTACAGCTGGCCCATCATGTGCGGTGTTGGAAGACGGCGCAAGGATGAGCTGGCAAGCATACGGATACCGGTCGTCACATCGACTCAGATGCCAGTCGTGCATATCGTGTGTCAAGGTGGCACAGCGTTCAATAGCCCCGTCATTTCTGGTCACCGGAGGTTGTTTGGCAGCAAAACTGATATAGTCTACCGGGCTGTGATCAGACCAATAAGAGTATTCGTGATTGGGATTTTCTGCGAACAGAATCGAGGAAAAAGAATGGGGAGATGGAATGACAGATAGGCATTGAGTGGGATATTGGGAAATCCAGGTAACTCGGTGGGTGAGACACACTGTGGCCCTGCTCGTTATACTCTGTGGTTAAGTCAAGTTTATGACGACAGGGACGAGATCAACGTATGGTAGTCCCAAAATGTTACCTATAAATTTCAATGAGGCGCTGATTCAGTGGCTTGTCCGACGGGTTGCGATCACGTGTACGCGGTGCCACTTCGATTGGTATACATCACGTTAGTGTGAATAAGATAAGAACAATCAATCGGAAACCAAGGATCATTTTCACAACGGTAATGACACTATTCTGTATTCGCATGTAACTCACAATTACCTGTGAGTAGTGTTGTGAGATAATTGTTATTGATTGATTAGAACTGACCATCGTTCAGATTTCACCTTCACGCACATTCCTCAGTTCTTCCAGTTAACTGTGCACTCGGAAGCACTAGACTCCAGTTTCGCTCTTATTATAGCTCATCAGTAGTGCATATCCACTGTCCCGTCCGGAATTTGAACTCCGGACCCATCGCATGGAAGGTGTGTGCGTTACCACTGTACCAACCAGCTCATGTCAGGTCTGAACCGAAATGCCAATTCACGTTTATTTAGGTGGTGGCGTCCTCAGAGATGGTCAGTATTCGTCGGATGAAACAGTCCCACCAGATGGGGGATCAGAGGATCGTTCAGACGATATGTAACCGTGCCCAATCAAAACGGCCGTCACACAGTTCAGCCACGGTACTCCATCATGCCCTGCAGCAATCAATCCATCCGGGACTGTTGGATACACTTGCTTCTACTGACCTCGGCTGATTACATCATAGATGGGATGTATTTCGAGGTACTTCACGATAAACTTCTCTGTCTTTCACTTTTTCTCTCTGAATAGATTACAGCGGGATTCGATGTTTGAGTCAACGCATATCCAGCTGTACGATCAGAGTATCCTGTAGTGAAATTCGTTCAAGGTTTGGTCACCGTGAACTTTGTGAGGCTATCGCAAAAGGCGTCCGCTCATTGCTGTTATCGTTGCAGACTGGGCCTTACTGGTTCAAACAAATGTATCCATTATTTTCCAGTTCCTGTCTATTGGAATTGTTTGCTAGACTGCTTTTTTTCTGTCGTTTGCTTCGTTTTATCAATAAGTTGTCGGTGTTCTACACCAGAGTGGATGCGACATGACGGGGATGGAGTGCAGGTGAGCACGGACGTGCTATTTATTCACGTGTATGAGCAGGGAAAGGGAAAACATTTCAGAACCGTTCACATGAACAAAACAAAGTGTAAATGGGTCAACTCACGATTTACGCGCAGGCCTAACCATGCGCTGCCGAACTGCAAATGAGTTCCAATAAACTGATGCTCTACAGGTGAGTGAATGGAGACGAGACTGGCGTTTTGTCGTAGACACGCTGATTCGGCTTGAGCCCAAGTGACCGGTGTACTTTGAATCGGAGAGAAACATTTGTTACCTAACTGAGCCCAACCGGTAGGACATTTGGCTGGCGCGGTCTGATAGAGATTATAACTGTCTGCACATTGAGAGGAAGTGAGGGAACAAAGAGAGAGTAAATTTCATTTCATTCCGCAGAAGCAACAACAATATGCAATATAGGCGATAGCCGGAAGAGAAACAGCGAAAACAAATAGATGATAGTTCACAGAGGTTCCGAAAATCCCGCTCCTCAGGTCCCCGATTCAGTGTGACACTATCGAGCCAAAGGCGAAAGCCGGCTAGGCGTCTACGTCACTAGAATGGCACTCCTAAACTTCCAAAAAACACTATCACTATGCGATAAAATCAATCTTCGTACTAAGGTGTAAATCTATCGAGGTGTCTGTCTTACACTACAGCTGCTAGACAGTGTCAGCTGGAGCTCAATACCTAAATAAACTGGAGGTTTTCAATCGCTAGTGTATGCGCAACATCCTAACTGATCATCCGGCGAGGAAGTCCACCACAGGTGCTGCTGTCCCATCCTAAAGCTGCCTACTCTGTTGCAATACCCTCTGCTCCCGTGTTTGGGCTCTGTTCGCCTGTCTCACCTAGCACCTCTCTTCCTAGAACACCATATTTGGGATCCCACTGTCGTCTCATTGGTCGGTCAAAGACCTGAACCAACACAGTCAATGAAGACACGGAGCCATGGGCTCTGGAAGCCGTGTATGGCATTCAAAGCTGGAACTAAAAACCTTAACACGGGACGCCACGCACGGGAAGCAATTATCAGAGACACCAATAAAGCGGACACATTTTATTAAAGGAGTTAATCACATAAACGTGAAGTAGACAGAGGGTAGAAGAACGCTAAGCATAGAGGGGACACACGTAGACTAGACATGAATGGACGAAATTGTCACGGAAATTCAGGTGCGCCACACAGTATCTTTACCAGGAAGCCCAAAGACGCCTATTGGACCAAGTCCTGCGGTGAAATTTTCATTAATTGTATACCAGTACATGGTCTGATTGCCTTAGCCAAGCACAGAATAGTAGCACAATTTCGTAAGAATGGCTAAGAATGGCCAAGTCTGATCCTGTTTTCCTTCCCTCTTACCATATTCTCTTATACTAGACGCTATTTCCGACCAGTCAATTTTTGACTGGAATGCCGATTTAAAGCAGTCCATCTACAGAAACGCCGGGTCAGAAATTTAGAGAGAGAGAAGATAAAATATTTTACTAGTGGGTGGTAGTGGTGCAGTGGTTTAGTTGCCATCACCGGCGTATTTTTGACCCAATGAT